CAGATTTTTACTAAAATGACGTTTTATACCTTATTTTAGCTATTTAAAAACATATGGAAATAGACTAATTTGCATACGGCTATTAATTCCGCTCATTCTGGGCTTTGCGGGGTTCCGAGTCGGTTGCTCAAGTACTTCCTGTGGTGCCTTTCCCTAACGTAATTCGTAATATTAATGCAAATTATACGGGCGGGTTTTTAGCCCTCAAACACACTGATTCGCGGGGGCGCGCAATAAAAGTGACAGCCTTTTAGGTCGCGTAATGCAACTGATTACTCGATGTTTTGTTACAGGAAAAACTATTCAAAGTGTAACAAAATATATTGCTTTGAACATTAGTTTATTTTATAGACAATATTAATGTACAAACGTTCGCAAGGGCTGATTGTATACAGGGTGTTCCAAAAGTTCTGGCAAAACCACCTAGGCAGAATTTTTGTAATTCGCCGGGCCTTCCTAGAGTATTGCCGCGGTTTGAATAACAATTATTTAATGAATGCGCAAAAAAATTGGTGATTTAGCTAACGGAATTTCAAACAAATTTTCATTTATTGAGAAACCCCTTAAAAGAGGTTGTCAACGGCGTTCCGAACAAAATTGGCGATCAAAAAAGCGAGTTGTTGTGATTAATTGATGCCAGGTCATTGGTTTACGTTTCCCACCATATTAATTCCATGGCAACACCGTTATTCTCCTAGAAAGTTCGGACAAACCATGCGGCTACCCCGAAGCGTGCCGGGGTCGGTTTGTGTCGAAGCAAGTTTGGCCTCTAGCAAAGCCACAGGGTGGTTTTCCCAACCCTGGTTTTTGGGGGCGTGTTGCAAACCTAATTACGAACAACATACAAAAAAATTTCGTGAATATCCCAGGCTTCTACGAGTTTCTAAGCACAAGAACATTTTGTCAGAAATTTTGGAACACTCTGTATATGCCCAGGTTGGCGCTTTACAACGGGGCGCTAAATCCTTCCTTGCTTGTACGTATAAAATCAAATAATTTGGAAAGAGCATCTGCTGGGAGACAATATCAAATATATATCGTCGAGTTTTCTAGCTTCTCGGCTTGTCAGCACGGGTGCAATCAACGGAAACAATTTTGGGCCAAAAGAGCACCGCTAAAACTATGCTTACAGGAAGAGTTCGCCTTAGGAAGAAAGAAGCAGCTTTGGTTTTGGATTGTTTTCGTCTATATGTTGAAAACCTCCCAGTTTCTCAGCACAACCATGTTCGCTTCATAATTGTGCTTTCTAAACCTATGAGTACATAGGAAGCCCTAGGGTTTTTCATCGTGTATCGCTTGGAAGTGTGGCCTGAGAGCTTCTTGAGCGGATACCCCAAAGTCCCCAAATTCATCACCGATTTTAGAATTCCTCTGTCAATCCTGATCACCCTCGTGTGATGCGCCTTGCTTTTCCCAAATTATTTGGTTTTATACGTACAAGCAAGGAAGGATTTAGCGCCCCGTTGTAAAGCGTCAACCTGGGCATATATACTGGCCCTTACGAACGTTTGTACATTAATATTGTCTATAAAATAAACTAATGTTCAAAGCAATATATTTTGTTACACTTTGAATAGTTTTTCCTGAAACAAAACATCGAGTAATCAGTTGCATTACGCGACCTAAAAGGCTGTCACTTTTATTGCGCGCCCCCGCGAATCAGTGTGTTTGAGGGCTAAAAACCCGCCCGTGCAAATTATAATATCCAGTGCCCGTGGATCAAAGGGCCCCGCAGAGAGGCCAGGGTTGAAAAGTCGCGAAGCGGCTTTTCAACCCTGGTAATTTATGAAAATCTTTGATTTTCTCGCTAAAAATTATGAAAAAGGGCCGAAAAATTGACGATTTACAGATTTTCAAAATGTCTTAGTATTTTATAATTTGCCGTTTTGGGTGAGATCGTAAAAATTCTCATAAAAATATTGAGTTTTTGGTCAAAAATGGATGAAAATAATGAAGAATGATGAGAAAGGTCAAAAATTTTGAAATATGCAGGTTAAATGTTTTTTTGATAAGTATCTAGAATCCCCGGAGCCCCACGGCTAGACTCTTGCCAGCAAATCTTGTCACATCCGTTTGCTCGCGGGCTGCTAGCCCATCTTCGTGCGCACCCCCCAGCCCTAGGGCTGTTTGTACAGCTATTCGAGGCTTGGCCCCCACAACGGGCCCTTGCCACTTGTAATCTCCCCCCTAAGCGGCTCATCTTTGCACTGGTCTGCTTCGCCTCGGTCCCCGGGCCCTCTTCAACTCGCTGACGCACTTACAAGCGTGTTGCTTTGTGCCGGGACTGTGTCCAAAAATTGGGGGCGCGAACGTGTTCGAGTTCTTGTCGGCGGGCTGGGGACGGTTTGTTAGAAGCACGTATGTAGTTAGGAAGGCGTCTCGAGGGGGAGAGAGAGATTATTGTTCTTCAAGAGCTAGTGGGGGTCAAGTTAGCTTCTCAAGGATCTAAAATTTTTAGAGCTTCTGGTTTGTTTATTGGTTTTTGTAGTAGTTCCTGAGTACTACAAAAAAAAATCTAAAAACTTTCGTAGATAGCTTTTAAGTTTTAAACTTTTGCTCATTTTTGGCATTTTTTTTTCAGAGATTTCGAACCAAAGAAGCAACCATTTCTAGCGTTGGAAGCTATTTTTATACATTTCGATCTAAAAACAGCTTTAGTTTTAGTGTTGGTTGGAAAACAGCGCATAAAAGGCTATGAAAAGGCGACGTTTCGGTATTGGAGCGCCAAACGGCCATATGAAAAGTTGCACCCCCCGATAACCGAAAAGTACCAAATTATATAATTAAGGACCAGATTCTATAAATATATGTGCGCATGAAGCGATCCAAACTTGAACCCCCAAAGACCTGCACCTCTCAAAGTTCCAGCTGCTCCATCACCCCAAAATTTGTCAATCTCCCAGCTCTTGACCAATTATCGGTCACTAACGTCCCATAGCTGACCGTCCACCCAGCCAGAGCCAAACAGCCTGTGGCATCTTTTTGGATGCGGGTTCGTGCCCCGGGGTCATGACCCCAGGTGCTTGCGCAACCAGCGAGTCCCCCCAATCAACCGGCTGTTATCCATTACACACGTACCAAACTTTTTGTTCGACTAGCGGGCAGCTTGGGTGTAGGCCCCGCGGGCGAACGCTTCGTTGGCCGCCGCTCAATTTTGCTTTCCGGAATGCCGGCCGTGGCCATTTCATTTCGCCCGGATTTGGCAACGGATTACGTGACGGCTAGCCTACGCCGCCTGGGCCTTTCAAAATTGTTGATCGTTGCTCGATGGCAGAAGTGCCGCTGTTGGTGTTGCACAATCCGTTTTGATCCGAATTCCAGCCATAATCCCGACAGCTATAATCCGGAAAGGCAAAAATCCCGACACGACGTAAACTAAAAGTACGCTCGGGCTTGCTTGCCGGGCGATGTGGATCCAACATTCATTGGGTTCTCTTTACATTCTAATATAAATGTTTTTGAATGTCACTATCTATTAAACATCTATTTTGCATGCCGAGATTTTGGCTGTCGGTATTTCGACTGTCGGGATTTTGGCTGTCGACATTTTGACATTTCCCTCTTCGGCCTGCCTATTATAGCCTGAAATTTGATCGCGCGGTTTATCGCCATTGCCCTCTGCCCGAGGCCTTGGCGTTGAACGGGGGGAGACATTCTCGAATTCGGGCCATTTTATCGAAAGGAAAAGACAAAACATTTCGCGATGAGTCGGGTCGCGTGCCTCTCCCATCATTCCACGCTCCCCCCCCCTCGCTTGTGCTTTCAAATTCACAAAAGCGGCTTAGGGGTTCGGAATTTGTCCGTTTTGGCTTCGACGGCCTGTGTTGATGGACAGGCAGAACTTTGCTTCACGGTTAGCTCTGCGCCGTTTGGTTGGCGTGAACTTTGCGGACACATTTGAGATATACAGCTTCGATTGAAGCTTCACTTAACATCCTTTCTAAATGCGCGGTTTGCTGAACCCCCCCTCAGCCCGTTCCGCCTTGCTATTCTGACACAGAACATTGTGCATGATCATGCAGCCGCGTTTTGAATTCTCCCACCGTCACAACGCGGCGGCGACGACGGGCATTCGCATACGTCTGCGGGCTGTTTGTATGCGTCTCCAATTGGTCCATTTCGCCCCCCACCCCCGCTGGCACGACTCCAATGTGACGGCAATATGACCCGTTTTGCCAGGTGTATTCAGCTTCCCAGACCGATCGAATGCCCGCGACATGCCAAAATTCGCCCCATCCGCCCCCTTGACTCGATATTCCTGTTGGTTCGATCGGGCACAAACAGCTTCCGGCTTGACGGTCCGGCGCATATTTTTCCCAGGCTGAACCGGAAGTTTGCGCTGCTGCGAACGTTTTTGTAGCTTCTGCTCATCGGCTCCCACGATGGTGAAAAGCATGAACTGGCTGGCACCAGAAATTTAGCTGTTGTCGCGTTAGAAAGGCTAATATGTGGAGTATTTTCTCTACCCGTAACCGCACCCAAACGGCCCCCTCTAAATTTAGCTGCCCTGCCACGCTTGTTTTCCTTTTTTCTGGTATGACCCGGCCGTGCGAGCGGTCATCCCCATGGGGCCACCTGGTCGAGGGCAACGAAGGCGTAAATGCGAGCTTTTCTTCGCCTTAGTCTTCCTCCCTTATCTGTTTGGCGCCCAGGAGCATGCGTTTCGTTGACGCGTGCCTTGGCTTCCAGATAACAAGATGATGGCCATGGCCCGCCGACATTCTGGCACCAAGATTCCGGGTTCGGGAACGATTTTTTGGGCGGCAACGGGGTTCCCATGTATACAACTCTATTGTCCTCATTTTCTGTTCCGCGTTACCTTGTGACTTACCACACCTTTTTTCAGCCTCGACTCGCCGCGCCGATGACCTGCTGATCCCATCCCGGGGAACTGTGGTCAGGAGCCATAACTTAATACTAGACTAGGTGCGTTTTACCACTACTAATATACTGTCCGATACAGCATGGATTCGCGCTCAAGAATACGGAAAACGTTAAGGATGTCGTTCCGGTCCATCTTCACATCGAATAAACGGCCGCGGGCTGAGGGTCGACGCCGCAATGGGCAGAGCGAGAGCAAGGCGACACCTTTCACGGAGCGCATATGGTTTGGAATACTATTCTTACTTCAACTTGTTTTTTAGCGAAAAAGTGCCCCGTGAGTTGCAAGAAGAGAGCATGCGACTTGTGGTGATGAGGGAAGAGAACAGAAGGGTGGTGTTCGACACCAAGACGATCATCCCAGCCAGCAAGGCCTCGAAGGTGTTTACTGATGGCAGCCAAGACCGACGCCGACTGAGCCCCTGCGGAAATTTTCTGGTAGGGAGCATTCCTTTTGCTTTTCTTGCGAAATTCTCATAGTTGTTTCAAATTCAATTAATTCCCTTTAGCTACTCAAACATTCGACCGACGTCAAGCAGATCTCTGACATGCTTTTTGGAGCCATGACAGCCTCGACTGGCAGTGATTCACTGAAAATACACACAATTGGGTTGGTTGAGATTAGGTTCTTTTTGATTCCATTATTTTAGCGAGACTCACAGCATCATGACGAGCCGGATTTTCCATCTCTCTCGGACAAAGTAAGAATTTTCTGGCAGAAAATATAGAGTGATCAGGTCAATGGGCCAAATGACCGACGCCAACATGGCCTCGGACTCGGACAGTCAATACGAGGCCACGGTTAACTCGTCAGATGGAATGTCTGCTAGCACGTCCTCGATGACTTCACCACCAGAATGTATGTTTCCTTATTTGACGCGCATTTTGCTTTTTTAGCGTTCTCGCGGGTGCGCACCAGTTCGTCGCTGCAAGAAGGTGACGGAGATGAGGAAATCATCCAAAAGCGCCCATTTTCTCCACCCTTCCAGCTCAGTCGAACCCGCCGCCGTCAGCTGAGCTATCGCACCGATTTAGCGAATGAAGGTGTGGTGGGATACAATATCTGTATTTTGCTTCTGTAGGCTCCGCTGTTCGCTGGAAGTCGCGGTCACGTCTTTCCTCTTGCGGCTCTTCCCAGACGACGGATGACGAGTTTTTGAAGAAGGTAGGAAGAATAGCTTTTGAAAAATGCGACAACTCTCATAGGTGGCACTCGGCGTGATTTGGGACGAAGACGAGCGTCCATTTGTGTTCAGCCACATGGCACTGATCGAAAACGAACTGGCCCGTTTGGAGTCGCGCATCGAAATGGGCGCAGTCTCGCAGCGGACGTTCCTGGTCGAAATCCAATCGGCCTGGGACGAGTTCATCAAGGCGATTCGTATACTGGCAAATACTCCACGGCTTCGCCATCCCGTCTGGTTGTCGATGGTTGATGGAGAAGAGGCGCTCGTCGCCAATCTTTTCTGCGATACATTGGCTAGCCTGGCACGGGATCTCGATACCAAGGAAAAGCATTTGTAGGTTTTAATCTTGAATTTATTGACGCTTTGATTTTTTTCGTACACCTCCTCGCAGAAACATTCTTGCCGGTACCTGAAAATCATTCTAACCACCGTTTTTCAGCTTCTTGTCCAATTTGATCTCGGCCGTGCTCATGCATCACATGTCGTGGGTAGCCTCGGTGGCACCTCCAGTCGCGCAGCAATCGACCGCCGCCGTGCTGAGTGCTTCTGGCAGATCGCACGTGATCGGATCGGTATGGGAATTTTTGTGTGAAAATTCATTCTCGGCATAGACGCTGAACGATGAGGCCCCGATGGCTCCCTACAACGTCCACCTGGCGCAGTACTTGGAAGTGGTCGGTAGCGTGGGAGCAAAAGGGCGAACGGCTCGCACACTGGTGGCCGGAGAATCGGACAAGAGCGAAACGGTAATCTTTTTAAGGCTATCTAATTCTAATTAATTTTAGGTGGCACGTCTGCTGCACGTGCTGTCGTATTTCGTGCGCTGTTCGACAATCCGTCAGCATGCAGGTATATTTTCATCCCGCCAAAATTGCCATCATTCGTTTATGGAATCCTGAAAGTTGCAAGCGAGACCCCGACCAATTGCCGTTTATAAACACGTTTTTAAACTGGCGGCTGCCCGCTTGGCCTCGGTCAGACACCTTTTCCCAGGGGCGCCCAAGTTTTTCACCTGGCACGCCGCGCTGTACATTGGTCGCATCGCTTTTCCCTGCGTGTGTCTGGGTGTCCCCCAGACTATGCTGTCTGCTGGCCTGCGTGCAGATCGGGGGGAATTCCACGAACGCCCGCCCGTTCGCCTAGCGGCTGGCTCGCCCCATCACCATGACTTTTGAACTGGGGCACCGGAAATGGGTGCCACTTTTGTCGGGGGATTGGAACCGAGCAGTACACTGCTTGAAGACCTTGGACAAAGATCTGAAAATAGAAACTATTTAAAATACTGAAAGTTGCAAGGAATCTAAATCGCCTGAAATCAAGAAATCACAACAAAAACAAAATAGTTTCCGTGTTGTAGATGAGCCGATCAGCCTGTACGACCTGCCGGTGGAGGAGGCCTTCTCACCGCCGATCAACTCTCCCTGCGACTCGGGCCTCATCTCGCCTCGAAGTCTCCGCCTGATCGATGTAGCCACCCCGGATAAAGGTGATTCGGTTTTTTTAACGGACCAGCTCTCGATTCTAGATGACGATAACATGTCGTGCAGCTCGGGCGACTCGATGGGACCCCCTCCGGCCGTACGCGCCCGTGTCGCTACCGGTGGCACGCCTTCGATTCGCATCGGCGGCGAGAAACGCCCAAGCAGGACCCGGACGCATTTGACAGAGAGCGACGGCAGCGAGAGCGAGCACGATTTGGTGGGTTTATTCAGATACCGGTTTTTGTTTTTCTCAATTTTTTTAAAAATCTGGTTGGTTTAGGCTAAGTCACTCGGGCGTTCATTACTCGTTGGCCCATCCGCCTCGTACTCGCCCCACTTTGTGCTCTCGGGAATCTTGAAAAACTCGCCGGCGATGATGTGTGAATTGATTGCAAGGTAAGCATCGCTTGAGCAACCTTTCAACTTCGTTGTCAGGGTTATGGAAGACGTGCATCAGCCGTGTCTGACAGAAGACCTGCTTCTTCCCCAACATTCCATCTCATCTTCCTCCTCAACCGAGACGGCACCCGTTTCTGATGGTGTTGTGGTGTTGGCCGATACCAGTGATTGGTCTGTCAAGGTTTGAGCGTTGACCTTTGCCGCTAACTATCAATATTAGGTGATTTCAACGGGCGGCGCCGAGCGCATTGCTTCCCCATCGGAAGCCGTGGTCTCGATGCTCGAACAATTTGCGGAGCTCCACGCTAGCGGCCTCGCCCCGAAATTCCTCCTCTCCCATCTGGAGGACAGCCTTGCCGAGCTGTTGACGAAAAGCCAAACACTGGTGAGAGATCGGATTTACGGGACGAGAGATCGCCCTACCTTACAGTAATCTATTTTCGTCAGGTTTGGAAATTCCCTGGGTGCATAATTTTTCGCTGATTTCGAAACTGTTTTCTAAATTGTCATTCCAATAAAATTTCCAAATAATCTGACCAGGGGCGTAGCCAGAAAAAAATTTCGGGGGGGGGGCCCCCAAAAAATTTTTCTAAAAACTCAAGAGATGAACGAGAAAACAGCGCCGCAGGCAAAAATTTTTGAAAAAAAGGTTACATAGCTCTACAAATAGCAGTAAAAACGTGAAAAAAATAGCGCCGCAGGCAGCAAAATTTTTGAGAAAATGAAAATCATAAGGGTCCCCCCTTATGAAATTTTCGGGCCCCGGCCGATTTCGGGGGCCGGGCCCCCGGGGCCGGTATTACGCTACGTCCCTGAATCTGACGACGCCTGCATTTTACTCAATTTTCTAGGTGGAGCTGATGCAGCCTCGAGCTATGGAAGACACACCAACGGTGTTCACTTCTGAGCGCGTTCGCAAAGTGATCGACTGTGACGTCTCCGACCTTCGGCTCATCCTCAACGTTGCCGCCGTCTATTCCCCTTCAATACTCGAGACGACCACCTAGTTTTTTTCTAGTTATTAGGCAGTGAGTGCCCCCCGCAAATAACGGCTCATGTGCTATTCATAATCAACGTTATTATTACAGATTTCTATTCCCATCTGTATAAATCCCGATAATCTTTTGCGCCCCCCATTTCCTGAATTCATTCCATGCAACCCCCCACCCCCATTGCTCAGTAAAGTCCGTTGTCTTTGTCCTGTTAATGCGATTAAGCAGAATGACTCGTTTTGTTTAACATTATGCCTGTTATACCCTGAAATTATCCCACTCGACGTGATACGGTTGTTTCCCCCGTCCACATTTCCCCTCATCGGCGTGCGCCTTTTTTGGATGCCAGGCTTTTGACCCCACCATGACAGCCCCCACATACATTTCCCGTTGACTTTCCCCCACAAAAATGAGTATGCCGTTTGCTCCGACCTTACTTTTGACGTGAGCGTAGTTGTAAAAATATTGTCTCTGTACAGTGCTGAGATTTCTATCCATCACCATGCGGCCTTAATGACGTCCGGTCTTCGGGCGGCTTCTCGTTACTGTTTTTCGGCAATCCGTAGCAAGCCCGAAGCCCGCGAGCCTTCCAACCCTTTCCATTACAAAACTTTCCACCTCCCCGTAATAATGCCTCAACGTGTCACGCGCCAGCCCAACAATGAATCCAACAAAATGCTCATTAACCATACCGCTATATCAGCTGACCGCTTTCGTTCCTTTTGAGTGTTGCCCAATTATTCTACGGGGAGCTGGGGGCCCTGGAGGGATTGTGCGAGCGGAGGAATTTGATACGTGCAAAATTGGAAATTAGCCCCTCTTTTAAATTAGAAAATACAGCCCAAAACACTGCACAATCCCTTTAGTATCCGGCCCTTCCATACGGTATCTCGGCCAGCAACGATTCGATAATACCCGTGTCTATGCAAAGAGTTTATCTGAGAAACACATACGAGATAAAGAGATTGATTTTTACGACTTTCAAGTACGAAAAGCACCATGTTCGCTGTCCGTGGTGTGCACCGTTTGTTCGTGTTATCTTTGTCCCATTGTCCCCGTCTCTGTTGTGTATTGTTAGATGGAATAGAGGAGAATTGTTGTATTCAGTGCAAGGGTCATCATCAGATTGCTCGATCGGAATTCCGGAGTAAGAAATCGCGGATTCCCGTCCAAATTTCGCTTTCGTGGTAGAGGTAGGTCATAGATTTTTGTAGGGACATTTGGAGTGTATCCTAGAATGGTGAATTTTTTATATCATAACCATCAAAAAGTCGAGAATTAACTTTAACTGACCTTATGGTGCTCGAATAGCCAAAGGACCAGGCCCCAAACTGTTGCCGCGAACCACGGGAAAATCGGGCGCTCTGAGAGTGATTTTTGCATGATTTGGTCTTTAATAATGTTTTTCAAAGCCTTTTCATTTGCAAAAACACTTACGTGGTTGTTGAATCACCTCCTTCTGAGCGGCCAGTTTCGCCAAACCGACAGCGACTCGTGAAAGCAAGTAAAGATTAATCTTTGAGATCAAAGTTTGGTAATTTTGAGCATTCTACCTGCATATTGACGGCGTTGTTCTCCCCGAACACGTAGTAGCCCATCACGAAAGCCGACACGAACGAGTGCCACTCCGATTTCTTGCCTACAAAGAACAAGACAAGGTCTGTAGCTTCTAGGGAAGCTTACCGCTGAACTGCTCAAGGAACCCAGTGCACAGCTTGTAGCTGCACACGAATTTGGCGAGATTTGTGGCATGGGTTCGGGTCAGCCGGAGGATGGTCTGTAGTTTTTGGAGGATACTGGGGGTTATGGGTTTTCGTGGAATTTAGTGTACTTACGTGCCCTCCTGAAATAGAAATACCATAACGAGGGCATGCGGGAATCGGACTTTACAACCGTAGCTGAAATTAGATTTTTAGGATTTAGAATGTTAATGTTAATTTTTTTTGAATTCTTTGGGTTAAAAGAAAGATTTTTGACGTATTCTTTTCTTTTACGGAATGTATCTTTTTTAATGTTTTTTTTTCGATTTTTAATGAATTTTATAGGAAAAATCATAAATTCGTTCCTTTCATGCGGTACCAGTAGCTTTACTAAACTTTTGCCAAAAAAGGTAAATAAAACAAGAATAAAAATTAAGTTAAACTAGAGGTTATTGGACTGTAATTAGTAGTTGATGGTAGCATTACGTCTATTTTTAAAGGCAAATAAGTTATTTTAGGGTAACAAATATCCTGATTTTTGCATCCATCCGAACCGTACGGCATTTCAGATCACCACTTTTTAGCGAACAATACTGAATCTGTAGGCGGAACCGATTTTCTTGTCCCGAAATACCTACATAATGCCATTCCTCAGCCCCTTCAGCGTGGCCAGCAGCCAGTGATGATCCTTATATTTCGCTAGCAAATAGTTGCCGATCAGCTCCCAGTTCTGGATTACGAATAGCGCCTTCTCCATCACCATATTGGGCAAGGATTCCGGGTGGGCGATAGTTGGTCAATTACGGGGCTGCTACTTACTATCAATCAAATCGGGCAATGCACCCCGGTTCAACTCGACTGCTGCAGGATCGATAAGATGGTCCCATATGCGGGTGAGTCTGCCAAGAGCAGAGTACAGCCTCCGATTATGGGCAAAGACAGCTGACGAGTGATATCGGGGCGGGAAGTTGGGCCGAAACCTTAAACGAGAACATTAAAGGACTCCGAATTTTTTTGGAGCAGGAAATCGACGAGCAACATTACTGCTGTTGAATATCACCATTCGAATAGTTTTCTGCAAGGGTGCCACGGAACTGAACAACAGCCCAAAGGTGTTAAAAAGCCAAAAATTAGCAGATCCGGCATCGAAACTAAAGGGTAACTGCGGAAAAATAGGAGGATTTACGTGGCGAAGAGCCAAATATTTCAGCAAAAACGTACCCTTTCTAGGCCAAAATCGAATTTTTGGGCATCCGGAATTTGGAGATTCGCTAGTTTTCACGGCATCCATAGTCCTGTAGTCCCCTGAGTAAAGACGATAAGGAACATCAGAAAATATACTCCATACGCTTGCGCAAACACGAAAAACGAAACAAATGGTGCCGAAGTCCAATCTCAAACAGCAACAGCAAAAAAGCCTACGACACTCGGGGTTCCCAAGCCGTCTCCGATCCAAGTACTAACCGCGCCCAACCTTGCTTAACTTGGCAGATCGGACGGGATGCCGTGCTTTCAACGTGGTATGGTCGTAGGCGGTGGTACTGTTGGTCAACTCTTAGATAAACCGTTGTAACGTTGCCTGCCTGCCCCTTACAGTCTTCTTTGAAAGCTGGGCTCGTCGGATTTTCACGCCAGTTATCAGGCTTGCCTAGGTTTAAAAGAGTAAAGATAACGGAAATAAACTAAATAGCGAGGCTAGAAAAAGTCGCCTTGAAAATTCTATATGTCCGCTCTCTCTCTCTCTCTCTCTCTCTCTCTCTTTCTCTCCCAATTTTTGCACTATTTTTGGGGGGGGGGGGGCGAGAATATTGGTAAAATATTTGCTTTCGGATATTTGAACATGGGCTCGGGGGTGCACTCCCATTCCTTTGAATGGTCCCGGCAACGCAATCCTCTCCGCCCCCCAACAGTTCCCTAAAATGGATTTTTTCGGAGCATTAAAATAACTGCTTCAAGCTGTTGGTATTCCCTATTCATTTTTGCTACTTTTTACAAGCCCTTAATCTTATATTAATTCCTCAGAGATGGACGTACTGAACGCGCGCTACTGGATCAAGGAGAATATGACGTGGGCGCAGTACGAGGTGAGCAAGCGCTTTTAGATTCATCTGAAGAGAGAATGCCTTCTAAAGGGACAGACAAGGCGTGGTTATGGATTCTTTATGGATTTTTAAGGCTCTCCGATCAGCTACGCTACTTTTCGTTGCGTAATGAAATACAGCCCTTTGCCGGGGGCGGCGTGCGCGTTGCGTGCCGCGCGTTGTGGACATGGAATCCAGCAGGAATCCATAGCAAAAAAAAAATCCAAAATCGTGCCTTTCCGATCCCTTTAAAAGGAAATTTTAGCACTCGCAAATTCTAATGCAAAATTTTTGGCGCGCACCGTTTAAAGGTACGAGCAAGGCACGACTAGCAAATTTTTCTCGTCCGCGCTACGTGAGGCACAGAGAGTCCTTGCGTCAGCATGCGCGTCGCGTGTCGCGGGTACGGAAAATCGAATAAAATTCTTAGCCAAAAATGCTGTGTTGTCGAGTCCTCTATTTCCAGGATGCCGGCGACTACAGTGTCCTCGATATTTTTCGCACGCTCTACTGGGCCTTTCCGATGCTCGTATTTCGGTTGTTTTGGGAGGCTTGTGTCGGTGAGTGTTGACGTATCATCGAGTACTCTTGTGGCTTCAATTTTTTAGTTTTTTTTTGTATTAAAGGGAGGAGCAAGGAATGGCGCTGGATTTTTTGAATTGGATTCTTCAAAATCAGAATCACGAATTGAAATTCACTATAAAAATACATTCTCGGTCTTGCTCGCCCCTTTAAAAATCCCAAAACCCAAACACAAAAATTGTTACCACGTGGCCAACCCGGGGGGCCCTAACGAATCCCGGATTGGTGTGTTGTGTCGGTGGGGCCAGCGTGCGCACAGGGCTTCTGTCTATCTCTCTCTCTCTCTCTCCTCTCTCTCTCTCTCTTTTCTCTCGTCTCTCTCTCACCTGGGCCACCTTCTCTCGCCGGGGGGAGATGAGGGCTCGACACACGACCCACCTTTCCCCGCTTCCCCCCGCTAGAAACCCTCCAGTACACAGACACACCAATTTTCGGCCAACGCGCTGACCAGTGCGCTTCGCATAATTATCCCTATCCCCCCATTCTACCCCCCGACTGGCCCACTAACCTCAGCCAAATGGTTGCCTCCAGGAGAACCGAATTTTCCGACTTTCCGGCTCAATTTCAGGAATGTTATTGCTGCGGGACTGTACGCGTCACGCTTCTGGATTTTAATTTATTGTGAATTTTTACTATCTTCACGTAAATCACTTAAAAATTCACTCATTTTGTCGAGATTCCGGCTCTAGATTAATCTATCTGATTCAGTATTTATTATTATTTATAGTGTCTTTACTTTCCGAATTCTGGAAACGACGTCATTTTTAGTAAAAGCAAAATGTCATTTGTAACCTAATTTAATTTAGATTTTAATTTCAACTTAATCATTTTCTAGCGTACGAATCAACATTTCAATTTTTAGTATCTTTATACTTAAAAGAACGTGAAAATGTTTTGAAATGAACGTAGTGGCTAATGAAACCTACCGCAAAGGACAAATTGAAAGAAAGAATCAAGGAAAACTAAGCTATTTTTTGTGGAAAAATCATGGAAATAATTTCACCTTTTTTGCGTTTTCAATTGGTATAACAGTCAATGGCTTGTAATACAGCGCTCTCCGGCAAAACCAAAACCGGACAAATTTTAGATTTTTTCTAGCTTTTTCTAGCATGTTCAAGTTCAAGCTCAAGTTCTCACTCAACGTCGATAGTCAAGAAGAAGAAGAAGAAAATATGTACCACGAGCTTTATACGCTGATGATTCTGCCGTTAAGCCTCCTTTGATTCATCAGAATTATAACGCCCCCTTAAATTTTCGACCTTAAATAGCAATTCATGGGGAATTTCTGGCTTGCGGTTTCAGTCCATTTCCCGGCTCGTTAAGTTTTGGTAGATGGCCAAGGGTGAGCGCGAAGACTATTTGAGCAGATCGAGGCCAACCCCAGCCTGTGCCGTTATCATCGCACTCTCTCGCCTCCTCGCCTCTCTCTCTCTCTCTCTCTCTCTTCTCTCTCTCGCTGTTAACACAGCTGGACCCGGAGCGTGAAAAGCCGCAAGTTACATGCCCAGCGACCAGTATTCACGCTAGCTTTTCTTTGACGCTTTCAGACCGTCTGATTTGCATTCAAAATTATTTTCTGAACAACTAAAACAAAAACTTGCCGTATTCGGGACCGAATTAAGGATCCTGTCTTTCCAAATGTCAACATTCTAAAGGCGTTTTGTAGCTTCAAAAATCTCCCTTTAGACGGTATGCCAAAGCCACATCGACGCTCCTAGGTACACCTATAAGCTGGGGTGGATACCTAGGGGATATGCGTGCATTGGCGTGACGCGTAGCTGTCGATACCTAACCTACGACCCAGGTAGATTAGTGTGCCTTTCAAGCCACGGTTCTTTTGCATTATCGGGGGTATCAGCGGGCAAATCAACTTTCAACTTTTAAACTTTAACTCAACTTTTAACTTTATAACTTTTTCTTTAGTATCCAAATGAATATTATTCCGAAGCCTCTTTACTATTTCTCAACCCAAAACTTTACAAATTTTTATAAAAAATACAAAAATGGCAATTTTTGAGTAGAAATTTCAATTGAAGAAGTTTATTAGATTTTCCTGAAACGTCGAGGTTTTTAAACTTTTAGCGTCCAATTGTGATTGTCCTCAATATTTCGGTCCGTTACTTTTCTGTGCCCCAACCCCACCAGATTTTATCGATTGATTCGACTCATTTTGCTAGATGGCCGCGTTATTCGACGCAGCACTGTAGCTGCCGCGCGTAACGTCGCCGGGCCAGGTGTGCCCGGCCAACGCCGCCGACCTTCTCTATCCCCTATATTGCATGCAATGCCCTGTGTGCTATTCCGCATTTTGTGGAGGGTCTTGTTGGTGGTGAAAACAAGGGCTAAACTGTAAATACGAGCCAGACCAGCCGAAGCATGTCAAAAACGGACAAATCAAGAAAATGCATTGAGCGCCTGGGGTGAGCGCGCGTATGGTGCTCAGCCTATCGCGAAACTACACGCGATGCTCCACTGAACGCACAATGCTTAGAAAACAACGAAGATACTTTGACATCATGAAAAAGAGAACAAATCCCATAATGCAATGAGCGCACAGGGTATATGCGTACGGGGTAGCCTGCTTGTAGCCGGGTCTCGAAAAACGCGATGTCCGCAAAACACGTTGACCTGTTGCGCGCGAGAAGCCTAGAACTTTGGGATGCTAAGAAATGCCTAAAAACCTTCAAAAAGCTTCCAGAAGCTTTTTAATTGTTTTGAATAGTTTTGCGAAAACGCTTAATTCATTAAAGGCTTCAAAAATAACATAAAATACACTAATTTCTTTAACTAAGCATGCAAAAGTAACATAAAAAGGAAATCTTTAAAATCTCCGAAAAATCCCTGTTTGTATAGGTATCCCTGAGCCACCTCTTCGGCTACAACAAGGGCCCCTGGCTCGCCAATTCGACGCAACATTTTTGGCGGTTTCGCGAGGTATGATTCTGATATTTTAGACTTTAAAGGATTTGCTTATTGACTTCAAAGTCTCCAAAATCTACAAAAAATTATTTTCTCCGCGTTTTCACTCTTAAAATGGAGCTTGACAGAGGAGTTCTGACTTGCATGTGTCATTTACTGGTTCTGCTGGCGCGTCTATGTT